CATGAGTGCTTGTAAAGCCATGCCAGGGGTCCTGCAATGACCTCTGCTAATTCCCTCAGCACTCTGGGGTGGAGAACGTCAGGACCTGCTGATTTAAATACATCCAGCCCCTCCAGAAGATCCCTGACTAGATCTTCACTGACCCTAGGCCTGGGTGTGCCTCCCCTGTGTCCTGAGGGGGTCCTGGTGTGGGGGGATGACCCGGTCCCTGCTCAGAAAAATGGAGGCAAACAAATTGTTAAATAGGTTAGCTTTGCTGTCTGGTGCGATGACCAGATTTCCTAGCGTGTCCTGCAGAGGCCCGACTTTACCCGGTACCTTCTTTTTACCCACTATGTATTTAAAAAAGGACTTCTTGTTGTCCTTGATCTGGGTTGCTAGTCCCAGTTCCATCTCCGCCTTGGCCTTCCTAACAGCCTCCCCTACAATCCTGAGCAATGGAGGTATAGTTCTCCCTGGTGATGGCCGCTCGCTTCCATTAGCTTTGAGACATTCCTGGATGCTTTTGGTGAGCCATGGGGGCTTTTGAGCACTCTTTCCCCCTTTGATCCATGTTGGGATTGCCATCCTTTGGGCTTGGAGGATTGTCTCCTTCAGGAATAAACACTCTTTTTGGACTCCCAACTCCCCACCCCTCCAGGACCTCAGTGCCTCCCGACTAGTCTCCTTAGTTCAATGAAATCCATCCTCCTAAAGTCCAGGGCTGCTGTCTTGCTGGATAGGATGGGCCGGCCCTAGCCCCATGCCTGTTCCAGACTCACTCATCCAGGCTCAGCAGCGGAGGCGTGGGACAGAAGCTGTTCCACAGTGCAGGGGGGAAGGCACACTCCCCTTCCCTCCCTCCACTGCCTGGCCATTCCTGCTGCTGCTGCCTGAAACCTGCACTGCACCGGTCTGCCCTGCATCAGATTGCCCAGCAGGGCAGCAGTGACAGCACAGAGCAGATGCAGGGCAGCCCAGCACAGGCTCTGGGCAGCTGCAGCAGGAACAGCCTGGCAGTAGCGAGGGGAAGGGGCCACTTTCCCCCCGGCACTGAGCAACAGCTTCTTTCTCTTACCACTGCTGCTGAGTCTGGACAGGTGAGTCTGGAGTAGGCATAATGTGTGTATGGGGAAGTAGCCTAGCAAGGCAGTGCAGCTGTGGGGCCACCCCAGCCCTGCTGCATGAACAGGGGACACCAGGATGTGCCATGACTGAACTCTACCTAGGCCAGGCAGGACCCAGTGACATGCTGCAGGCTGGACAAAGACCCACTGTGGGCTGGATTTGGCTTTTGGGCTGTATTTTGCCTGCCCTGTGCTATGGAGTGCCTTTCACTATTACAAGCATAATCTCAACAGATTATTATAAACATAATTCCAATAGAGATTATGAATTCTTATCCCATTACCTGGACTAGCTTTTATAACACTTAAGTCCCTCAATGGGTTAATTTTCCTTGTTTATCACTATTGACCTATTCAACACAACTTTCATAGTTTCATAGTTTCTAGGGTTGGAAGGGACC